CTTGCCATGCCCACAGCAAAGAATTTCTTCCTAATACCTAATCTAAATCTACCCTCCTTCAGCTTAAAGCCATTGCCCTTTCTCATGGCACTCCATGATGTTCTACAAAGTCCCTTTCCAGCTCTGACGTAGGTCCACTTTAGGTATTGGAAGGCTGCAATAAGACCTCCCCAGACCTTCTCTTCTTCAGGCTGAAAAGCCCTTGCTTTCTCAGTCTGCCTCATACAAAAGGGGCTCCAGTTGTCTGTCCAGCTTAGTGGTTCTTCTCTGGACTTGTTCCAACAGGTCAAAGTCTTTCTTGTGTATCTTTAACACTAGTATATGCTTCAAAGTAAACCAAATATTTAGAATATAACTGGCAAGTTCAGTTTGATAAAGAATATATTTTCCCACTTAGAAATTTCAGTTTCAGTCCTAATCATGCCAGGATGGGTTTTACACTAAACCAGGAGAAACCAAAATGTCACATTTAAATTATCAGAGATCATCATGTCAATATAACACATGCCTTTTTTTTCCTTTTTCATTTAGTCTTCAAAAGATATTAAAAAAGAAAGAGGATATTTATGAAGATAAAAGCCAAGAAATTTGTGGGTTTAAATTGTAAGCTGTCCCAGAAGAGTACTTTTGTATCATAGTGGGATTGCAGTTACAGATAAACACTATCTTTCTTCACTATGTTTCTGAACTTCTACTTTAGTAGTAAATCACTTTTGCCTCCAGAATCTGTTTTTAACTGCATACAAATTATTCACTTAAGTGCTTATGCTAGAAGATAATTATTCTTAAGCTTGAAAAATGCCTGAAAGTTATATTATGAAGTGGGTTTTGTTGACATAGATAGTTAGAAATTGTGTAGCTGTAGAATATACTGACAGATGTGATTCTGTGCAAACACTTCGTATGAAATCACATCTGGTAGAAATCATATCTCAATCAAATCAGGACACTCATGTGCTGTCAGTGATACAAACATAACAGTACTGTAAGTGGTCTTGCTAGGGCTTTTGAAAATGTTACAAACATAAACATTATATGAACGGACTTATATACCATCATTAAAGGGCTAACATGCGGTTGTGGAGGTACTTTTATCAAAATCATATTGAGTTGGTTTTATTTAATCAAAGATTTTTGACACTTGAATAGAAAAGCTCAGGAAGTAGTCAAGAGCTCTAATTATTTTTCATTTCAAATGCATTTGGAGCAAAAATTTTTAAAAAAGTGACTGACAAAATTCAAAAGTGATACATTTTGTTATGTCCAAGAGATTAATGCAGGAATGGGGTCTTCTAATGTTGCATAAATCTTAATGCCTGAAATATGGCATTAACTTTTCTAGAAACCCACATGTAGCTATTCAGGTAGAGCCAGTTGTAGTCTGCCTGTGACACATAGGCCCTAAATTCAAGCTAAGATTTGGTATGTTCTGGAGTTCAGGTAACCCTCTGTCTAAATCTCAGAGTCATCATAGAATGATTTGGGTCAAAAGAGACCTTAATGAGCATCTAGCTCTAACCCCTCTTCTGTGGACAGGGACACCTTCCAGTAGACCAGGCTGCTCTGAGCCCCATCCAGCTTTGTCTTGGATACTTCCATGGTTTGGCTATCCACAGTTTACCTAGACAACCTGTTCCAGCATCTCCTCATCCTTATAAAAAATTCTTCCTAACATCCAACCTAAATTTATCTTTCTTCAACTTTAATCCATTTCCCCTTGTCCTGTCACCACACACCCTTGTCCAAAGTCCCCCACCAGCTCTCTTGTAGGCCCCCTTTAGGTACTGGAAGGCAGCAGTGAGGTCACCTTGGCGCCTTTTCTTCTCAAGACTGAACTGTTAGTGTTCAGGAACACACATAATCACGGGATATGATTATATGCAGGTGCTTTTATTGAGAGCTCTGGGAATGAGTGGTACAGACCCAAATCTGACTCCAACATGGCTTTCGAGCTGAATGTATTTTATATTATACATATTAATTATTAAATTTATATTGTTCTATTGTATACATTGACTTTATTCAACCATGAGTTTCTTGTGATCTTTCTTAGGGCCCTGACCACAGTTTCTCATGATTATTCTTACAATTAAACAGTAATTATATTTAATTACTAAACAATCATCACATCTAACAATTATATCATTTATCATGTACTAGCTACATAGGTGCAGTTCTAGCAAAGTACAAAGTCTTCTTGTACTTGGGGTATTTATTTATCTTTTCAGGGCCTACTAAGCTTAATTTTCCTTTTAACCTTAAATCCCCATGATTTTAAACCCTTTTACTCTCAGAACAACCCCAATTCTCTCAGCCTGTCTCCACAGGAGAGGGTCTCATGCTGGGACCAATGCTGTGTCTGTTCATGCACAAACTGACCCGGTGGTGATTTCATACTCTCTCATGTGCTCACAAGCAGAAGACTGATACTAGAGGGCAGTCTGCTCAGAACAAACTTCTTGGATTATGTTTCAGGGCAACCCTGCTTTATCTGCTAAATTCATTGGGAGCTGAACAGATCAGCTCTGGCAGTCCAGACTAGCCCACTGAGACCAGGAATGCCACATCTGCAACATTGGTTGACATTAAAAATTGGATGAAAATTTAGAATTAATTAATCTTTTTAAACTGATGTTAATGAACTGTTTTAAACCCTATCATTTTTTGGATCCAATCTAAAAAATGGATTATTTTTTTTTTTTTTTTTTTTTTTTTTTTTTTTAAATTTTTTTTTTTTTTTTTTTTTTTTTTTTTTTTTTTTTGTGGAAAAATAAAAGATGCCTTACTTGCTAGTGCAGCTCAGGAGAGAAACTGTGGAGGTAGATTTTTAATGCAATATATTTTCACTGTTTCCCTCACTTTTGTATATACATTAGGAAGAACACCAGACTTTACTGAGGGCTCATTTCTCAGTGTTTTTGCTGCACTTGTATATGAAGGGGGAGAATTCCAGTTCAATATATTACACTGGATGTGTTACTTATTTAAATCAGTATCTCCTGCAGTCTGCACAAAACATAGCACTGTTCCCTAAAACCAGAAGGTGCTAAACAGCTCAAAATATGAAACTCGTGAAAAAAGAAAAAAGGTCAAACTAAATAATTTACTATTCATTTCCTTTGGCCATGGGTAGTGTTTCAAGCTTTTATTTGTGTTTCAGGCAAATATTCAAGAACCTATGTTTTTCCTAAAGTTTTGAGCAGCTAGCCCAGGACAAGAATTTATACTGCCCGATAAAAATCTCATTAAAGAAATTCCAGAATTATTATTATTTTTTTTATTTCAAGGAAAGAACAATAGTATTACTTTAATGATGTTTAATATCACACTGGCTAGATGCAGCTGATCAGGAAATTCAGTCATCCACTAGTGCATTTAAACATATAGCTTTGATTCAGCCTGTACAAAAGCCCTGAAACAATTTCATATTCAGTATAAATTGCCAACTGCCAAAACTTGGAGCAATACAGAGCATATAGAAGAAGACAATCTGAAAAAGCACACAGTATCTGCATAGCTTAATCCATAATCCCTGGTTCATTTGCCAAACTACATAATTTTAATCTCCATCACATAGTTTTCTGCTGCCTTTATGCAGTATATCCTATCCTTCAGAATCTAGGTAGTAATGAAGAAGACATGTTGGGAAGGATGGATGAATATAATTATTCATAAATAATGCAGCCAGGATGAGAACAGTCCTCTCTGCTAGCCGGACAATGCCCTTGCCTATGGATGGGTCCAGGGGTCAAGTGGACTGTTCCATCTCACCCCCTAAAATGTATGGTTCACCCTTCACCTGTAACCCTACCCTGAAGCATCGGGTCTCTGTAACCCCATTGGCCCAAGCCTTGTTCCAGCCCACCTTGAAGCCCCCTGATAAGGGGTCTCCGAGGGGCCACACCACACCCTCTCTTGGATCTTCCCCCTCATAGGACCTCCACCCTTTCCTAGAGCATCCTCTTGTCTCTCCCCTCCCCCATCCCCTCAAGCCTCACCACGTGCTGCATCTGGCAGCTCCAAGCAGGACCTTTCTCCATCCCTAATAAACCTTATATCCCAAGAGCAGCCTTCAGAGATCTCTCATCTCCATTCACCTAAACCGTCCTGGAGCACAGCGCTCCCTACAAACACATATCAGTTTTATAAATTCAGGGCTTTCAGGTGGCATGTTTTCTGGAAATATTTCTGTGTTGTGAAAATTGTCATTTCAGGAATTCATAAAAACTTCTGCTTTCTTCCCAAATCTCTCTGGGGAATAAAAGGAAAAAATCCAGATGAACTGGTATGAATTCTAGCTTCCTTTTCCTACCAAAATGCACTTTTAACACTTTTAGGGAAATCAAACAATTATTTGTGTAGGTTTACAATATAAGCAAAGAGGACAGAATTATCCTTATATCAAAATTATAACAATAACCATGATTTTTAATTCTACATGTTACTTCATCTGCCATGTGCACAAGAGCATTTGCTGTGGAAATACAAAGCAAAAAGGAGCCTCTTGAAAAAAAGGTCTTGCATGCATGCATGCACCTCTTCCAGCTGCCTCACCCTCTTGAAGCAGAGTTAGAGATTTTGCATAGGAGCATGTAGACTCGAGGAGCTCATACTGACAATTCATGCTACCAGCCACGTTTGGTTTTTAATGATGCCCAGCTAAAATCCATGGAGGCTCACAAAGTGCTCTTTACTTCAGATGTAAATACTGATCTCAGAGCAGCAGTGGAGGTAACAAAGCACTTGAAATAACTCTGCTGTTGAACAATGACAGGCAAAGAACAGGTGATGAACATTATCTTGACAACTCTGCCAATACTAGAGCCAATATCTTTTTGACAGTACCTCTTTATGAGTCTCCTCCTGAGTTTTGAAGTCTTATTGGCATTTACACCTCTGCAGCTGCCTTGAAGAGAGAAACCTGAAACTGTGTTTACTCAATATTTAATCTGAGCCTCACAACAGTGCCAGGGGTTATACTCTCCTTGGTTGCAAATGAGCTGGTCTGCTGAGGAGTCACAGGAGCAGAAGCACTTTGTAGCAGCACCTTACCATCCCCCAGTATGAGGTTAAACAAGTCATCGGCTTTTCCCCCCAAGGACCTCTTTTCAAGGCCAAATTCTATCCTCCTGTATACCTCTTCATCCAGTGAAGGTAAGTAGAATGAAATTGAGTCCTCAATATACATAGCAACTGACTCAAAAAGAAGTTGTCAACTCTGTTTTACCAGATGGAGTTAAAACTGTTTAGCCAACAGAGTCATCAGCTGGCTCAGCTAATAAGAAAAGGTGATGGGCTCTGAGTGCTAATGAAGTCATTCAGAGCACATTGGGAAATGGCAGCAAGCAAGGCTGGTACTGCTTAGGATGAACCATGGGCCCCAGGCAGCACATTTTCCAACTGGAGATAGAAGCAATAAGTATTAAATTGCTACAACAGAATTATAAGGTAGTTAAGACACAGAGTTATCATTAAAGTAGTCTTTTTTGTCTTTTGTCTTTAGAAAAATCCTAAGAAAAGGCATCTAATAGACTATTCCTATTCAGTATTAGGGGCTCAGTCTGGTACTTTGCGGTTCAAAACACTTCAAGTTATATTAGCTGGTATCAGAGGAGATGCACAGATAGAAGGAGGAGTTTAGAGTTTTAAGTACCACATTTTTAACTAAAGTAACTGTTTTCAACTGGTTCCTGTATATACTGTAATAGTCAGTCCCCTGAGTTTTGTGATTAATTTCTTCAGAATTTATCCTACAGATTTAAAGTGGCTGAATTTAATTATTACACTACCATGGGAACCACCATCTTTCTGTGGCAATATATACCTGAACAAATCTAGTGTAAACATTCACTTTTCAAATTAAATTATATAAGTAAGTAGAGCTTGAAAAATAAGCAACACACTCTTGTCAATGTAAGAACATGGTTAGACAAAAATTTATAGGTGTATATCATGTCCTGGCCTTATTTACTTTCTCAAATTTGTATACTGCTGTAATAGGTTTAATATTCAAAGTTAATAACTTCACTTTTAACAATCAATCAGGGAGGCAATTAAATATTACATAAGGCACAACATACCTAAACTAGGGCTTGAGAAATGAACTTTAAATTTTTAATTATCTTTTCTTTATTTTCCTACAGTGGTTTAATTGAAAAAAGCACAAACAGAGATGGAGTCAATAGAACAATAAAATACCTTTATTGGCAGAGAAATAACTGACAAATATTTGAATTTCAAGTCCTAGTATCAGAACCTTTGTCCAAATGATTCTATTGGTTTTGGTTAGACCCTGTTTCTCTGTCTGTAATTTTGAAAAGTAGATTTTGAATAGAGTCAAAGATCTGATTATTTCTAATTATAGAAATCGGGAATTTTAAATTACCTTGTAGCACCTGTTATGTGAACTCTCCTGATTAATAGCAAAGCACAAAAATCACATCAATAATTCTTTAAAGAACCATGAATAATTATTGCAGAAGTGTAAAACCTGTTTACCAAGGCAGACTTTCCAAAATATTTCTGAAATACTTTAGTGCAATTCATACCTAATTCTCAGGGACATGTTATCACTGAGTCCTTGGAAACATTGAACAGAAAAGTATGCATAGGACATTTTTCTTAGAAAAGAACAGCCCTTACTCCTTGGGAAAAGTAAATGGTTTTGTTTTCTTTTGCTTAGAAGCTTGTCTTGCTTAGAAGCTTGTTGCTTGCATGTGTGGTTTGCTTTAGCCTGTGTTTTTTGAGTAGCCCAGGAACTCCAGGTTCCTTCAGATATGAACGGATTTCCTGTCTCTAATCACAATGGGACTGACAGAGGTAAAAGCCTTAGAAAGCTGAGCAGTACAAGAAACAGAAAAACAATGGATGTTGTAAGGAGAGAAGTGGATAAAGGTATGTGTAAAGCCTAAGTTGAGATAATTGGGTTATTTTGTTACTAAAATGAAGGATGAGAGAAGATTGTAGGAAAAATCAAGGGGACAGGCAAAATTTAAACTTAAAACTACTGTTCTACAAGTGGCCACCAAAGGCCCATGAATACAATGAGTCTGGGAACTTTCTGAATATTGGAACAGTCCTGCCTGAACCCAGCTGCCAAAACCCAGCTTTTCCATGTGCACGGGGGACAAGACAATAGCTCTGCAATTTTAAGTTTTAAGATAACATTTGAGCAGATTGTGAAAGTAATTGTTTATTTTAGTTGCATGTAGCAGCAAGATGTTGGTTAGGATGGTAGAGCATCCCTTAAGCTGCAATGTAGGAAAGTTTCTAATGAGATGCTCAACATATCTGTATATTTTATACACATGTGTAAATCAGAGATTTTAAGAGACATAAAGCTTAATTTATTCATTATATTCCGTCCTGGCCATATGTATTCTCTTTTACTGGGGGTTATTAAAATAGTGTATTTCTCTTTCTATGACTTGTCTTAATCGCCTCCACCCATCCTCTGGCTGATGAGGCTGAAACCATCCACAGCTTTTTCTCTTGACCTCTGTTAATTTTGTTAACACGTGACCTGCTGAGTACAGTGCAACTTACTAGTGAGTATTTCTCCCTTCTACCTGAAAAGGAGCTTTTAATTTTTAATGAGTAATCAATCCAATTCAAAGACAATTAACTAATCACATTATTAATGCATTTCATTCCTTCTCCACATTACTAGGCTGCTCAAAAAATGCTTGCACTTGCACATAACTCACAACAGGATTTGTAATCAGCTGTTGAAAATATCCTACACTTGTAATTAAAGTGCTGTTAATTACTCTGTCATTTTCGCATGTTCTGTTTTGCTTCCCCCCGAAAGAGGCTGGCAGGTTCTTCTGTGTTCCACAACGCAGCACAATCATCCTGCTCATTAAGTGTGACATTAATGTAAGAGTGATCAGAGTGATCCAGTGGCTGGTCCCAGTTATGCTGAAGAGCAGTTCCTCCAGATTCATTCTGACTTCTTATTAAAACTAGGAACAAAATCTGGCTTTTTTGCTGCACACTGGGATGGTCCTATGCCTTACCTTCTCTTCAGCACAAGTAGCTTAATTTAAAAACATGCACTGTAACAGCAATCAGTTCCATTCCCTCAGAGGGGATTATAGGCTAATCTGCAAATGTTCACTGAAATTCTACTCCTCACTCTCAGGGGACAAAATTATGACACGATTAATGCAAGATGGAATTTTGCCATAGAGTTCAGTGGAGCAGGGCTTTCTAGCTTCATCTTAACCTACTCACAGTACTGCTGTAAAGTCTCGTCGGTAATTTTAAAAATTGATCACATTGAACTGTGAGGATAACTGGCACAATCTGACATTTTAGGGCATGAGTTTTATACTGAAAAGATCTACAAGCTGACACATTCTGCAAGCAAGTCTAAGAGAGAAATTCAAAGTGCCATGAATAGAAAAAATTACAGACACCATTGAGCTTTCCTGATGGTTGTTGATATTGTTACTGCACAAAGGTTTAGGGTAATAGAATAGACTTCCTACAAATGTTGCTTCTACTTTGTGACTTTCCTTAGACAGACCTTTCCATAAACTCATGAGCAGTTTTAGCATCTCACTACTAAATCAAATATAGAAGCTTCAAAAATTGTTTATTTTTTTTTCTTTGTTTTTTCTCTCCATCTCAATCTCAAATCCACACACATAGAAAAAATGACCAGGTATGATCCTTGGGAAACCAAGTTGTAGAAATCTTGTAAAACATTAATTTTAATTCTAATTATCTATTTAAATCTCTAGAACTTCAGAAAACCTTTCAGACAAGAAAGGTAAACCATGCATTCTAATTAATAAAAAATGAATGCATTTCAAAATGCATGAAAGGAAAAACAAGATGAATTTATTTCACTACATGTTTGAAAATAGAAAATATTGTGAACTGTATCTGAGTACTTTTAATTATTTCAGAATTGTGCAAATAGTCAAGGAAAAAAAACAGAGATCAAAATCTATTACAGGCCTAGGTCATAATCAGTTTTAAAATTCTTTTTGCATCTGTAAATTTAATTCAGACAATCAACTGCCCTATCCCCAAGGGAATCAACAACTCCACTGAAATATAAAGTATCCTTCAGTCAGAGAGGTCCAGCTTCTTTTCTCAGTCACATAAATAAAACAAAGCAACTCCCTTTTTTGGGGGGATAAGGATTCAGTCGGGAGTAAATTTTTACTGATGAAACAGAAGAGAAAGTGATTCTCAACTTTGGAAAAAAAAGTGAATCAGGAAAGTATTTGTTTTGCTGGCTGTCTTTCCATTTTTCTTTTGTTACCTTAAGGTAATGTTTTCTGGATACAATCAATAGCAAGGCTGGTGCATTGCCTGGAGATACAATGAGGGGTATAATGAGGCTTCTGAGATATGCAGAGATTGTGCACATTAACTGCTCCACAGCTTCATGGCCTCACCTCTTCCTGACCACAAAGGAGATGGAAAGAAAATCACAGAGTGCATGGGTTGCAGTTATATCTATTTTTTGCAAAGAATAAAGCTCATTTTCTCCTCCATTTCAAGCTACACAGCAGTTTAAAAACTGGGGAGGAAAAGGCCCTTGGATAAATGAAATACCATGGTTGAATCTTCTGGAGCAGAAATTGGGATGAGTACAGAAACAGCTATCTGGATAAAGACAGCTGATAAGTAATCACAGGGCAAGCTGAGTCTAAATTTTACATTTCAGTTACAACCTGTGTACCATATCTGGGATTCAACACTTTAATAGACAGCATGTTCCTTCTCTCTTGGAACACTAAGTCTTGGACTACCTGAAGCTTTAGAATTGACCCCAAATATTAATTCTCATGACCTAGATACATGTGTTGCATTTCAGTCTCGCCTATAGTATTAGGTCTGATAGCAGCATCATCAGATTGAAGCTGGATAAAATATTTTGTTTAAAGAAAATTGGGTTTCTTGTAAAATAAAGCTCCTCCCATACATAAAAGTTCAGTGGAAAAAATGTCAAATACCACTCTTTCTTTACTTACTACACCCTCATTTGATCAGGAAAGGTGTTTTTTTTTAATTAACTCCAAAATTACATTTTAAAATGGTTTTAAGTGCCCCAAGAGGCCTCACAAGAGCAGTGACACTGCAGATGTACCTCCTGTATGCGGCTGTTGCCAAGCTTGACGAGTGTGCTTTCCCAGCTTTGTGGCTCCTGCACCATATCCTGCCCTGCTGCTTCACAGAGGTGCCAGGGATGTGCTGTTATCAGTGGAGACAATGACAAATGGGTTCTTGGCTTTATTTTACTGTCATTCTTGCAGTTCTCAGGTTTGATGAAAATGAAAAGTAGAGACAGCAATGAGACCTAATGCCAGTGCTCTTCAAAAGACAAAGCACTTCTACAAAATCCATGGCATGACCAGCTAAGCAAGGTAGAGAGTTCTTTCTTATAAATTCTTTATAAATTCGCTCTTTTTTTGCTTTTGTTAGAAACTGCCTATGTTTCTACTATTTTCTTGCTCATTACTTATAAATCTTCAAAAATATTTGCTCAAAAGAAACTGTGGTTCCTAAGTGGATATAGCATCTAAGAGGATGAGAGAGACCAAAGACAACATAATGAAAATGAAGAAAAAAATTCCACAGAATAACATTAAAAAATGCATTTCCAATGTACCACTGGGTCTGATTTTTCTAAACAGTTAATGACCCCACTGTTTAACAAAGCTATGCCCAGGGGCGTTTCAGGATTTCAAAATGCAAACACCAATATATGTGAGGGTATACTGCATTTCTAATAATCTTTAAAATAACTGAGTACTACTTATTTAAGTATTTGAAAAGTTGGATCGTACCACTTGGGTTTTGCATGATAAAATATAATATCAGAAAACTTTTTGTTTCCCACAATGCATGCTTAAGAAAAAAGGAGGGAGAAGAAAGGAAAAGAAAAGAAGTTAGAGATTTTTTCTAACCTGCAAATACATTCCAGCCTGGGGAAATAATTATTTTATAGGTATTAGATCAAAAATAGGACATAAAGAAAGAAATTGAAAGAATATTTGCTGAAAGAATAAATCACAGACCATCAAATATATTTTTTTTTAACCAGACGGAAGAGAGTTTTTTTGTTTGTCTGTTTGCTAGTCTTTGTTAAGGACAAGAAATTTTTAAACTAAGGGAATATTTTAGAGCAGTATCCTATTCCTCTGAGGGAAATACAGTACATTGCTTAGCAACCTTTTATGATTGAAAGACTGAAATACCTTATTATATAAAGTACTACTGTGCAAAATGGTCAGCCAACAGCCAAGTGGCCAGATGACTTGAATGATTCATTAAATTAAGATTTATTAAGAGGCTTTCTCTTTGCAATTTCAACTGCAAAGTCAGTAATGAAGCACAGCAATCATATAGGGATCATGGAGGCAAATAGACAATGATAGTTTTCTCTGAAACAAGGAGGAATCAGCACTACTGTACTCAAGGGCTTTATGTACATTAGATCAGAAGAAATTGCTGTGTAGCCATTATGCGATGGGGTTACTGACTGCAGCTGAAGCAGCCCTGGCAGGAATTGCTGATGGATATGGAGTATTGCTGATGGAGTACATGGGAGCTCCTTCTCCTTTGCTCTCACTTTCACCTGTAAGGACTAGAACTATCTCAAGGCTGCACAGGGCCAGGCTTGGATGTAATCAGCTTCACTGGCTATTGAAAACAGAGCCTATTTTGATTAACAGACACTGTCCAGAAGAAAAAAGGAAGTGGAAAAAGGAAAGGAAAATAAAACTGTGGACTTCTTGTCTGCTAGATGGATACCAAGAAACCTAACAGGTATGGAGCAGGAAGAATCCTTGTTTCTTTTGCAAGCTATGAGGTATTCCAGTCTAAGAATAGACTTAACACTTGCAGAGATGGATATTTTTTCACCAGGACATACTAGGTACTTGCACATGTAAAAATATATTTTTCTCTATATTTTGAAACATACTTTCATTTGAATGTTGAATTCTGCATTTGAGCTGTTTTGCTCTGTACAACAGGCATTCATGCTTTTGCCTTTCTGGAAGACAGTGACCAAAGCTCTGGAGCCCGAGTGTTAAAAATATGAGTGAATATACAGACCTAAGCACTAATCACTGTGTTAAAACAGCACCAAACCAAGGAGAGCTCTCCCACACACCAAATAACACAAAAAAGTTCTCAGCAGCCACTGTGAGACACTTGCTGCAGAAGAAGATCTGGCATGTCATCTTTTTCCTCCTCTGGAAATTGCCACCCACAGAGTTTAAGCTAGCTCTGTGGCCTTATGTCCCAAACCTCCATGAGCTTCCTGAATTTACCTGCCCTCCTACCCTCTGCTCTTCTTAAAAAGGCCAGAGGAACCCTAATGGAATACACTAGGTTGTTTCACTAATTATCATTGCATTTTTAAATCTATTTCCTTCACAGGATAAAACAATTAGGGAAAGATTCACCTGTCAAACATTCAGATATTGCAATAGTACTTTGGTTGAATTTTTTGGTAATGGAAAAATTCTACTTAGAGCTTATTAATTTCTAGCAAGCTCAATGATTATGTGGCCATTGGAAGTTCCCCTTAGCTACATTTCTGCCTAACCTGCTGGGCGCTTCCTTGAGAATTTGCTAGATTAATTGTATTCTGTATAATTGCCTAAGGACAGAAATTATGATTCCAGATTTGTGTTTAGGGCTGAAGGATGTTAATCATGGGATAGAAGTGAACAGCACAGTACAAAGACTGAAAGCACAGTTAGGGGTTTAATTTATTTTCACTATAGCCTTCTCTGAAAACATCACTTCTCCATCCATTCAGCCAACCTCCCCAGGAAAGTCACTGCAGGCAGCAGAAGCAAAACCAAGGATTAAAGCAATCCTTAATCTTCTTTATTTTCCTTCGGAGACAGTTGAAAAGGCAGAATCTGATGCTGAATTATAAAGGCTGTTTAAGAGTAGATAGAGCAGATGAGATACAAGATACTTTAGAGTTTGGTGGGATTTTTAATTATTTTTTGGTATGTGTTTCTAGAAGTTTTGCTGATGTCAATAAGAAGCAATCTTGCCATAGTGCAGGATGAGCTTCCAGAGAAATATCAAGTTTGAAGGAAGAAGCAGAACGTTTCACTCCTTGTTTTTGACAGTGAGTCCACATTAACTTGAGTTCAGCTCAAGTGTAGATCCTGTTCTTTATATATTCACAGCATACACAGTTTTATTTTATAGCAAGCTTCCATTTTCTGCAATGTGTTCATTGGTACCTATTCTTCCTCATACATTGGGGTGCAGTTTATTCACTCCTGTGGTAAATATTTTAAAATCTGACAGTAAGGTATTTTTAAGTCCTTCACATCTTTTTCCACATCTACCTCCACATTATGTTTTCATTTAAAAAAGTATTAGAAACAATCACAGAAGAAAATATATTCAAAAAAATAATGTCTAAATTGTTTGCAGCATATGAACATCATGTTTTCAAAATCAAAATGTATCAGACACAATTAGCATCCTATATTGAAAAATTTTCTAAATTACTTTATTACTATTACCACTCCCATAATTACTTGAAAACTTAACTTACCGTCTGTGTTGAGAAATCAGCAAGACTCTTTCTCTTGATTTGAATGTGTCTTCTAAAAGGTTTCAGTTTAACAGCAGGCCAATCCTTTTTTATTTTCCCTGGTAATTTTCTTAAATTAATTTTCATTTTTGACACCAAAAGCAAGTGTCCAGACTTGTGAAATGAAAAGTGGCACTGCTCTGGAACTAAAGGGTGTATAGCAACAAAACAAACACAACTAATAACTTTTGGATTAACATTGTATGTAAACCTAGATCAAAGATTATTTTGGTGCCTTGAAATACATTGGATACACCTTGAAAAATATAGCATACTTCTTAAAGACTCTGGCACTATTTCACTTTCAAATAGAATTTGCAGAGTAGGAAGGCCTTATCACAGAATATAAATACACTCATTAAATCTTTAACAATAAATGCAGAAGGAGGTAGAACAGAGGCATCACACATCAGCTTCTTTGCAGACACAGAGCCAGGTCAAGATGGTAACGTGTTAATCCTGATTTGTTCTGCTGATAGGTATCTCTGAGAAAGGTGACAATCCTCCTCTCCCTCTCCTCTTTTTCCAAGCAAAAAAGTATTCCTCATTGGTTAAGTGGTTTTGAAATTTAGTTGCCTAATTTTTCTGTATACATTTCTGCATTTGTTTTATAAGATAGCCAGGAAGGTATTGCTACATAAAGCTGGACAGGTGATATCTTAATAGCACTAAATGAAGCATCTTCATAAGAGAGGTTTTAAGTGGCAGAGATGTCAGAGGTGAGTTTGCCAATGAGAGTGCCAGACTACCTTATTCAGAGGGGAATGATAGGAATCTCTTAATAAATGGTCTTTTAAATATGTGTGTGTGTATAGATTATATATAGCTAATGTATATATATTTATATATATACCATCTATATATACTGGGGAATGTTTCTGTATTTATTTTCCTGTCTCTAATTTCATTTTTTTTGTTCTTTATCTATTAAGTGAGTGCAGGAGATACGACATACAGAGCAAGAAGAGAAAAGTTAACAGACCCATTGCCTTCTTCAGAGACACCTACAAGTCACAATAGGTTCTCAGAAGAATAAAATCCAAATTTTTATCTTAACTGTCATTTTGCTCCAATGAAACCTGTGACCCTCCTGTCAATCTCCACAAGTGAAATCTTATATAATGAAAAATAATATAATAAAATCTGATTTGAAAAGGCAAATATCAAGTATGAGAAAATAGCTGACTGTGTTTAATCATGTAGGACAGAGTCACAATTCTTCTGTTCTCCTAAGTGCTTTTATATGTTTGTAAACCTATGAAGCACATGAATCAGAGTATTCATATGTGGTGTTCCATTTAATAAAAAAATGGCACCAGTTGGCCTTGCACTATTCCCATATATGCATGCCTTCTTATGGCCTTCTGCTTTCATATCAAGTCATTTACAAGTACACACAATCACACGATGAAAGTTGCCCAGTGCTCATTCTAAGAACTACATGCTTTTGATAAGAAAATAGGTGCATGGTGTAGACAATTGCATCTGAATTTTTCAGCAGATTCAATATATATTGTATATATATATACACCTTCCTTTTTTGTTTTATGTTGTTTAAAGAAAACTGAATCAGAAAACAGCAGCCTGAGCAAAAAAAGCAAACAAAGAATTTTAAAAAATCTATACTTCTTCATTCTTGCTCATTTACCAGTTCTTCACATGCTGATTCCTCATGGGTTTATCAACATTTCTGGGGCTTCAATCTCTGAAGTCAAATGGGAAGACTTCTGCTTCCTTAGTGATGCCTTAATTAGGCTTTCTAAGAGATGCACTAATGCAACAAGAAGTCCCTTGCATAATTTATATTGCTAGTTATAACCACAAAGTAAAACCAACATGAAAAAAAGAAATTTGACTGCAAAATACTGGCTTGGATTTCTCAAGGATCACACCTTTAAAGACAACAGCCCTTTGATTATCTATTTACCTAATTTGAATACAGTATTTTGAAGAAAACATTACTTGTTACAGATTAGCAAAAAAAAAAAAAAAAATTAAATTACAAACCAACCAACCAACAAAAAAAACTTTCTAAATCCAGCATGAAACAGAAGGTAAAAAGTTTTAAATGGTCAAGTTTGACAAATACGTCATCTTATAACTTTGAAGATAAGTGTACATGGCAAGCAGTACAAAGAAAACTTAAAGCACTAGGGGTTATAGGAATTCCACAAATGTAGATGAGAACACCCTCTAAGGCTAGCATTCTATAGGTTATTACAACAAGCACTGTGCCAAAACAAAATCAAAATCACAGAGAGCTAAGGAAAAGCAGGAACGCAAATTACTTCATATGCATTATGAACACCTGAATAATTGTCTATCTTTTTCTTGTATCTGTTTTTTTTTTTTTTTAATCCTTGATGGGATTAAGATTGAATGCCTGAAAAAATAATACTTAAACCAAGTATGTCTCCTTCCTGTATTTCATGATGAGACATTGAAGGTCATAATGAAATTTGGAAATACACACTCTCAGTACAGGAGAGGCATTTTCTGTTTTTAAAGCATAGATTTTTATTGACACAAATCAACAGAAGAAATGTGAGAATATTTGATTAGCCTTAAGAAAAAAAAAATCCAATAGGCAGATTTAGGAGTTAGTGAGCAGATCCACAAGTGTTCACACATCAGCTTTATTCCGGCTTTAATGTACTACCTTAATTTTTTTCTGATTTCCATCTAGATGAGACATGTCTTGTGAACCTAACTGGGGTCAGACCATGGTGTTATACATGGATCATTTCCAACAGGAATCTTTATACTGGCATCCCCTTCATAAATCTGGCCCTGGTTAAACACAGCTACTCCCTTCATCCAAACACTCTCAACCAAGCAATTTTCCTCTCCTTCCTCAGACTCTTTGACTACCAAAAAGAACTTAAAAATAAATATTCACCTGGTTTTCATTATAAAGGATCAAATCAGATTATTAGCTGGCCTAAAGAGTGCATTCAGCTGTGATGAGTGGTAACTCTACCATGAAAAACAACTAATAAATATTAAATTAATTTCATCTAAAAGCTCAGGGCACAAAGTTACGTACTGTATTTGCTGGACTTTTAGCAAAGTGGAAAAGGCTGCAGGTAAACTTTTAATGTGTACATAAAATGAAAATTTTCTTGGCCTTTGTACTGCTTTTATTACACCCACATGGCAAATCAAGTTATGCTGATGAACTCACTAACTAACTCATAACTTCTCATAAAAATAACAATCTCCCTTCAAGACATTAAAATGAGAACAGTTACCAAAAAAATGTTTGTGACTTGTATCTGATTACTAGGTTGTTCATTTCTAGGTGTTCAAAATAGAAGGTTTGAACAAATGGCTTTGAAAGTTGGTCTTCAAGTCTGTCCAATTATGCAACCACAGCATGAAGCTCAAAGTTTTATATCTACATGGAAACTTAAAAATGAGGACAGGCTTCAGTAGAGACAGAAAGACAAATGAAAAAAGAGATCAGAATTTTAAACCCATACTGTGTCATCTCAACAGCTGAGCTGTGTATTCAGCTTAATTTAAATTGCCTAGAAGTGCTTTCCATATACAAGTGCATCTTTTCTTAAATTTTGTTAATACATGAATATATTAATTAGTAACACTCCTTGTTGTAAAAATGAGATGTAAGCAGACAAAAAACTACTAGTAAAGCATAAAAGTTCTTTCCTACTATTTTGAAAGACCAATTTTCTGTCACTGGTTATTAAACATTTTTTTCAAAGGACCAAACGTGATAGCCCTTCAAATCTAACAGCTTTGGTGATGTGCTGAGTCTCTGCACACACTGTGACTTCTTTGGCATTTCCAAGACATTGGCTTTGAGAAGGTAAGATACTATCAGCCACATTTAGACTAGGTGATTATTGCAGGTCCCTTCCAACTGAAAAAAAAAAAATTAAGCTATTCTGTTCTATTCTATTCAGCACCTCCAGTATCCACTTGGAAAGCTTTGCCTGAGACTGCTCCTAGTGGAGAGGCGGCTGCACTGTCCCTCAGACTGCATTCATTTTAGCAACAGCTTAAGCTGTAGAATAGGCAATTCAGAGCCCAGCAAGGAGAACTACCCCAGGGAGTAGGCTGTAAAGAGCTTATTAAGCAGGCATCTCACATGTGTGACATTCACCAGTCCCAGGGTAGATTATTCCCCACTGATCCCCAGCAAAGAGGACAGAATCTGACTGCAGGCTCTGCAGAGGCCACTGCATCATGGCAAATGTCACTTCACAGAATTGAGAGGTAGTATTTTCTAGCCCATTAGACAGTACAATCCTCTGTACTTATTTTCATTAGCAAATCCCTATAAAATTGTGCATTGAATAGAAATGTGTACAAAGTGAAAGTCCTAAGGAGGGAAGGTGAAACACTTGTTTCACTATCTGTTCTAGGAACAAAGCATCCAGATAATAAATCACAGAATCACAGAAATGTCTTTGTTAAGTTTCCTGGTTTTCAGAATAAGATAGTAAATATGCTCAACACCATTTTAATCAAAGAGAAACAGGGTTTTTTCCTTTCCTTTCAGCAATTAATCATATTCTAGCTGAAGAGAAATTAACCCCCAAAAAAGGAGTGTAAAAAACTCCGCACCACTCTGGAGTAGTTATGCTTAAGGAAGAAAACCCTGTTTTCAGAATCATAAGCTTCTTTGTTTAGGTTTGTTTTGCCTTGGTGAAATCTGGAGAAACATATTTTTTTCCTCTAAGTAAAAAATAATTCCTTTATATGTCCTGATTTCTTTGTAATGTGATCCTTATCACCATCTGAGCAAAACAGAAGGATTACAAAATAATCCACTTCTTTTGAAAAAAAAGAACTTTTTTTTACTTTTTTCCACTTCTTTGGAAAAGAAAAATCTGTAGACAATAAAGATGGAAATAAACTCTGTAAGCAATTCTAAATTCCTCTGCTATCTGAAGTGGCAGATCAAGACTTTTCTGTAGGTTAAATTTTTCATACTGAAAGTGAAATATTGCCTTTCCAGCTCATTCAGATCCCAGCTGTAGCCTTCAGGAAAATTTATTATTCAACTATAACATCTCTTAATATTTTATTTTCTCTTTATTAAGACTTCTCTTTAGAGTTTTGAAGAGTCACAATTGAAACAATAATTTTCTCTCATCAAAATATTTTCATATCCAGCTGCAAAAATCAGGGCTCCTCTGCACTTCTCAATGAGAAACCTTCTGGGTGTGTTTATCCTAATCCATCTGGAGTTGGGTTTGTTTGTTTGTTTGTTTGTTTGTTTGTTTGTTTAAAGCACAGTAACATGGAAGTCAGAAAGACACTCTGGAGCTTTAAAGGAGGTGGTCCCTTATTGAGAACTGAGATGGGAAATCCAGCCTAATGAAAACCCCTCTGCTGCAGCTCTGCTGAGTTGAATTCACCAGCATAGAATAAAAGGGCTTTCTACTTTCTAAAAGTCCAAGCTGAGGAGTTACCCAAGAGTTTAGACTAGTGAAAATTCTACGCAAGGCAAAATTTTGTATAGAAGAATAAGTTTAATGCTTATTTTATGTTCCTGGGGTTAAATAAATAGTGATTAGTATGAGATGTGATTTGCATACCAATGTGTTAATATACGGATATTAAAGAGTAAAGCCATGGAATTCACACTGCTAAAGGCATTCATGGGTTATCCAAAGCAAGATATTTAGTGCATGACAGACATGATTTATCACTTAACTACTTTTGCATTTCTGTCCATGTATTATAGCAAAGTTGTACACAGTAGAAAACAAGTGAAATGGCCATGAGTTAGTACTTAAGGGAATTATACAGTGAGACAAAACAGAAAAACTTTAAATAGCATCATTGTGAAAGATGAATAACTAAGAAAAATGCTCTGGTTAAAATGTATAATGAAGTGAGGCCATGGAGATAAGGTTATGGGCACACCTGCTTAGTACATCCTATAGAACATTCACTTCAGTTTGAATCAGTTAGCTATGTTGGAGAGACAGCTTTGAATTAGAAAAAAGACTAGGGGGTCTAAAACACATTTGAGAACAACCCTAAAGCTCTACTCTTTTATATTCTGAAGAGGGAGACTGTGGCTCTGCACTCCCGTGCCAGCATGCTGTTGGCATAACTGCAGTGAGAGGGATGGCCAGTGCTGCAACGCTGATGTAGTGCAGAGCTGTACCAACCCAATGAACTCC